GTGGCGGCGGGTGTAGGGAGGGGAGAGCACTCCACCCACTCAGTAGCAGCTGTCTAAGCAGAAGGCTGGAGAAACACTTCCTGTTTGTTATCACTGCTGGGAACGCTCTTAGAAGAGGATCAACTTTGGAAAATTTGAGGACAGAATTCAGGACAGATTGTCCTGTGAGTCAACTCTGAGCCCCAAATAGTTGATGCTCCCAATGTTTGAATGCATGGCTCCATGTAAAGAGGTGGTCAGTAGGAAAACTTTGATTTGACAAACATATTGGCAATGGTGTTTCCCATTTATTTCTGCCCACAGAGTCGAGCTTATGGGTGAAGCTGATGAGCCGTCAACCCAAAGTGGAATTAGCCAAGACCTTTGGCCTGTCCTGCATAGTGGAGGCTGACTACGCCAACCTCAGGGTGCCACTCACCGTGACGTGGCAGTTCCAACCAGCAAGATCTCAAGTCTTTCATCCACTTGTTCGAATCACCCATAATGGCACTATTGAGTGGGGGGGTTTCCTATCTCAGTTCCAAAAGAAGACAAAAGTTTTACAGTCCTCATTTCATTCTCAACTCCTAATCCATGATGCCACCGAGGAAGAAGCAGGAGTTTATCAGTGTAAAGTAGAAGTTTACGTCAGAAATTCCCTATGCACAAGCGGCCCCGTGAGGGCTTCTGCCATCTCTCACTCACTGATGATAGCCATCACTTTACCAGGTAAACACCACTGGAAAGTAATTCCTGCTTTAAAAACAAATGAACACATTTCTCCTATTTTGGGTAAATTATAGAATTAAAATATAACATACCTTCCCCCATGTTTTGACTGTATAAGTTAGCACCACGTAAAACCGATATCCAGGCTAACATGAAGTTAGTATGCATGGGATAGCCATACTGGTTGTTAAAACATTGACATACTTCCACACTGACTACTAATAACTGTTGCTCCATGCTCCTTCCCCCTCTTCTCAAAAGTCCCCACCACCCAGCAACTGAAAATTACCACATGGCACAAGAGGGGGCTTCTCGGACCAGCTCCGGTGGGGAGGGAGGCATTCTTTGGATTGGTCACTGCCCATGCCTTACTAGTCATTAAATGTTTGAAATGTCTCCCCTACTGCTAAGGATAATGTCAATTCCATTAGAATACATTTATCCTCTTGGTTTAACATGTTAATGTATAAGAGAGAATATCTGATTATAATCAAATATAATGGACCTCATCAGTTGGTGTAAGAGCAGAGACACAACCTGGGCGAAGTCCTGCTGGGTCATGTATCTTCTTCTATGACTTCCATTCTCTAAAGACATTGTGTTTAAGAGCCTTTGAAGTCATTTCTACCTGACAGGCACTGGTGAGCAGCTTAGCTTTGGGCAAATCACTCCATCTGTCCAAGTCTAGGGACTTCATCCCTAAATTGCTGTTCTGCACTGTGGTGACATATGTAATGTGCCTAGGACAGTGCCTGATGCATCAAGCAGATGCTCAGACATGGTAGCCCCCATTATTCTCTCTGCTGCTGAGTGACATTTTTGGTAATAGTAACAATCTCCTTGTCGATTAACTCATGTCTCAATTGCCTTGTCCTTCCCATGGTATTTAAAATTGTTGACCCAATCCTTTCTTCTTGAAACTTCCTTTTTCCTTGGCCTCATGACGCAAGATTTTCTTGGTTTCTTTCCTAACACTCTGTTTCTTCTCATTCTCTTTTGCAGAATTCTCCTCCTTCACAGATCCATTCCTTTGCGTTTCAGCCTTAGCTTGCTCTCTTCTCATTCCATACAGTCTCCTGAAGTGGGCTTATTCCTCCCCCTGGTTCAACCTATATCCTGAAAACTCTCAAATCCATTATCCTGAAAGACTTCTCTTCTGATCTCCAGACTCGTTATACAATTACCTCCAAGGCATATCTACACTCAGTAAGTCCAAACATAAATGCACGATTCTTATTCTTCCAAATCTACTCTTCCTACACTGTTCTCCATGTCCTCACGATCCACCAGTGGCCCAGGTGAGAAACCACAACACCTCCATATCCACCTCATCCAAACTCTCATAGCACGGCATGCAAGATCCTTTATAACATGGTACATTTATGTCTTTCCAGTGTCATCTTCTACTTTCCATCTTGAATTTGAGCTCTGGCCACACTGAACTACTTACAAGCCCTCAAATACTCTGTGTTCTCTCTCACTTCCAGTCTTCGTTCAAGTCATGCATCTTGTGTGGAACTCTTTAACCTCTTCTCCACCAGACAAATTCCTATTCACTCCTAAGACTTAGCTTCAAGATCTCTGCTCCAGGAAGCCTCCAGGAAGCCTCCCCCTACTCCCATATTTGAGTTAGATGGTCCTGCCCTGTGCTCTGACAGCCACTTCTGCATACCTCTGTTACACTTGGGTGACACAGTCTTATAATTTGTAAGCCTCTATGCCTGTAGTGGTTTCTCCCTCTAGACTGTGAACCCACTGATTGGAGGTATCCACAGAGCCAGGAATGGTCTGGCACATAACACAATGTGTGCTTGATACGTATTTGTTGACGGAAGAGGAAAGGGACCTACCAGCAAATTTTAAGAAGCAGTTACAAAAGTAGAATTAATGATATCACCAAGAAGTTAGAATAAGTTTTGGGAGGCAGGTTGTAGCGTTCATCTTCCTGACAGAGCAGAAAAGCTGCTGGAGTAAAAGGATAGCTGACTCCATCTCTGTATAAGATTCCCACAGTTGACTGGCTGCAAAGAGACATACAATTTTAGTAGCCCACGTACAACTTCCTTTTGCTCACCCATGTTTGAAGGCAGATACAAACAAGGACACGTCGGCAAATTGGGAATCCAGGAGTATTCTGGAGAGTGAGCACACAGACAAAGCATTAATAGGGCCACTTTCACTCACTTTGATTTATGAAATGTGACAGAAGAGAAGATGTCTATGTTTTGACAGTGAGGCATTATCATGTGGAAGAGATTGGTTTTCTGTATGACACTCCATCCCTCCCCATGTTCCCTATCCCACTCTGCCGGATGAGGGTAGAACCAGGACCAGTGACTGGAAGGTAGGGAGTGGTAAAATCCAACTTGACATCAGAAAGAATTCCCTAGTGGCAGAGATGTCCAAAGATGGAATGGGCTGCTTTGTCAGTTGGTGAACTGTTCAGAGGCTCAGGGGGCAGTTAGTAGGGCTGCGGGGGAAGGAATTCCCACATCTAATGGATGTAGGAGACATTGCCTCATGCCTAGTTGACCTCTAATGTCCCTTCTACCTTAAAATTCTATTTTCTAGCGAAATAAAAAAAGTCACTGTCACCATTCTTTTAATTTAGAGAGCAAGCTACAAGTGAACTCAAGCAGTCAAGTCCAAGAGATCCTCATCAACTCTAACACCAACATAGAATGTAACATCTTGTCCCGGTCCACTGGAGACCTTCAGTTAGCTGTCATTTGGTACTTCTCTCCCAGTTCCACTAAAGCAACCTGGCTGAAGATCCTGCAAATGGACAAAAACAATGTTGTAAAATATGGGGATGAATTTCACACCCTACGGAGAAAACAAAAATTCTACCCCGAGAAAGTTTCCCAAGACTTGTTTCAGCTACACGTTTTGAACATGGAAGACAGTGATCAGGGCAAATACCACTGCGCTGTGGAGGAATGGCTCTTGTCTACAAATGGCACTTGGCTCAAGCTTGGAGAAAAGAAGTCAGGTCTGACAGAATTGAAACTCAGGCCCACAGGTAAACCTCGCAAGTGTACCCTCACATGTCTTTCTGTAGGATTGCCATCTTCTCTTGGGCAGCTCTTCTTTGGAGTGGATATGTGAAGGTAGAAATATGACCCAGGGTCATAGGAATAGTGTCCACCTACACAACGAATGCAGGACCTAGTAGCCCAGCAGAAGAGGTGGGTGTCACTTAAGGTGAATCAATCCGAGGCTTTGAGGAGCTTGGATGGGAACAAGATCCCATTGATTGGTTTGCTTATCAGCCTGGCAGCCTGGTCTATGGAGCTGCCCAGGGTGTTGTATCTCTAGGTCTCTGTAATAGCAAGCTGGGTCATTCCAGTGGGGCTCTACTGTAATTTGGCAAAGAAAGAGTAATACGAAGCATATTTCTCCCACTGTGAACAGAAACTGTACAACTCTATAGGGATGTGTGGAGAAATTGCTTTTCAACATTTGGCTGCCTAAACATAAGGCAAATAAGAGTAGTTAACTGTTGGAATGGCTTACTGAGGGAGTCTCCTCTTCCTTGGGAGATCTTTGAAAGTGTAATAGAAGTTCCATCCATTTGCACTGGTCTAGGAGTGCTGCGGTGTAAATGTGGGCAGGGTTGATTGGATCTCTGGGTATTAGTTAGGTCACCTCCAATGTTGATTAAAATTAAATGTCACAGCTAAGGTTCGGGAACTGGCTGAGATCCAACAACACAATGCAAATAAGTTAATCTAGTTTGGTGCTTCAAATTTTATTTTCTATGTAACATCCAAAAATAAGATTATAATGAACATCGCCATGTATTAGACAATGAGAGATACAAAGAGAAATAAGGCACAGCTCTTGCCTTAAGGAGCTTACAATCTGTTGGGGGCAGCAGAGCAAAACAGTAGCTTAGTATAAGGATCTCTTCCTGCTGCTCTGATTTCCCTTCTTCACATTCTTCAGGCACTTCTTCTCCCTGCTAAATGTGGGTGTTCCTCAGGGACAGATCCTGGACCCCTTTGTCTTATTATTCTCTGCCCTCTTCAGAACTTCTTAAATTCTGCCTTGGTTTCAACTACCACCTTTGATGAAATTGCTCTAAGTGTTTATGCTTAGCTCCAGGTCTTTCAACCCAACTGCCTGTTGTACATTTCTGCTTGGCAGCCCCTGAGACCCTTACACTCAGCATGTGCCAAATTGCATTATCATCCTTGCCATCCCACAAGACTCATGCATACTTCTGCACTCCCCATCTATGTGGCTAGCAGCCCTTTCTCCCAGTTGCCCAAGCCAAATCTCGACAGTGTATGCACATCCCTTTAAGGAGGCAGCTACTCCTTAGCTCAAGCTAGCCAACACTTCCCATCCAGAAATGTGGGCTCAGTGTTGTCTGATCTTTTAGTCTATCAAGAAGTGCCTAAAATCTTTTTTGTGTGACATTGCTCGATTTGAGAACGTACGCAACTAATCCAAATTCTTTTCAGATTCTGAGGGTGTCAAACAAAACATATCTGTGGGTGGGGTGTGGCTGGCTGGGCGTGGCCAGCTGTGCACCCTGGTGTAGGGTGTGAGTTAAGGAAGAGGCCTCAGGGAACGATACCGAGAAGGAGTGGTCAGAATTGTAGGAGAGACATTTTCTCTGAAATCAAAAGAGGAGAGGACTTCAAGAAAAAATAGACTTCAGTGATAAAACCCACAGAGAGGACAACAAAATGGAGTGTCTTGAGCTGGGAAATTGGGCCCATACTGAGGATCCTGGCCGGAGCATGGCGATGGAATTGGAAGGCTGATTGCAGTCAAGTAGGGAGGAATTTGAGATGAGGAAGCAGAGACGGTATCATATAAACTAATATTTCACATACTTTGCCATGAGGAGAAGGAGAGAGTAACAACAACAACAAATCCAGGATCAGACAAAGTTATTCTTTTATTTATTTTTAATTTTTTAAAAGATATTTATTTATTTATTTATTTATTTATTTGAGAGAGAGAGCACGAGAGGGGGGAAGGGCAGAGGGAGAGAGAGAAGCAGACTCCCTGCTGCGCAGGGAGACCCTGGGATCATGACCTGAGCCAAAGGCAGGTGCTTAACCAACTGAGCCATCCAGGCACTGCAACGTTATTCTTTTAAAGATAGATTAATAAATGTGTTTGTAGTAGAGTTGAAAATGCAGTGTATACTATAATTTCTTTATTTTGTTTGTAACTACTCTGGCCTTCATTCAAAGTTCTCACCTGCTAGTTAGGAGGGGAACTTTTTAAAAAAGTAAATGTCAAAATCTGTTTAAAACTTAGTCAACTGGTGAATCGTTGAACACTACATCAAAAACTAATGATAAGTTGGCTAATTGAACATAATAAAAAAAACAACTTAGTCTAATCCAATAATTTAAAGTCTCTCCTTCAGTGGTATTCTAACACTTGTATAAAAATGTTCAGTCTCTCAGATAGCCTCCTCTTTCCTTTCATCTAGAACTGAGATGCTATCTGGGCATATGGGAGGAGGGTAATTTGCTAGGAATGAGGGGCAGTGGTGCAATACCCAGCTTGAGGGGATGGCTGGAAGTTTTGAATGATCCCTCTGGGAAGTAGAAGAAAAAGTTGACCAGGGAGGGGTAAAAGCAGCAGGGCAGAGGGCCCACTGAACCTGGGTGGTTTCAGGGGCAGGTTTTCAGCAGACAAGAGGTAGGGCTGAAGAAGGAAAATGGTTGGTTTGATTCATAGCGCAGAATGTTCTAGCAAATATGGAAGAAGGACAGGGGTCAAGGAAAAAATGTTACAGATGAAAGACCTGATGTCTTAGGATTTTAAGATGGCATCTCCTCAGTGAGAACTAGATTTTTCAGAGGAGGTATCCAATCTAAAAATCTAGATTCTTCTTTAATTTATTGCCATTTTATTTCCTAGGAAGTACGGTACGTGTCTCCAAAGGGTACAGGACAGAAAATGCTACTGAGCATGGAGAGGTGGCCATCCACTGCAGCCTGGAGAGTTCTGGCAGCTCAGCTTCCCTGTTCTCTGTGATGTGGTACCGGAACAGGGAAAATTCTGGAAGGAAGATGCTGGTGCACTTGCAGCATGATGGCTTGTTGGAGTATGGCGAAGAGGGGTTCAGGAGGCATCTGCACTGTTACCGTTCATCCCCTACAGACTTTGTCCTGAAGCTTCATCGGGTAGAGATGGAGGATGCTGGGCTCTACTGGTGCAGGGTGACAGAGTGGCAGCTGCATGGCAGTCCAAGCAAGTGGGTCAACCAAGCATCAGATGAGTCACAGCATATGGTGCTCATGGTGCTGCCTTCAGGTAACGAGGGGCTAATCTGTCCTGGCTCCTGGTCAGGAGAATCTTGGTCTCCCCTTTTGTGCTTTGCTGAAAGCATTTACAGATTCCCTAAAGAAAGTGACTCTGTCATTTCTCTCAATCGTAATTTCCATTTCTCATTTGGACAGACAAGGTCTACGTGAGGTTTTGGCATAGACATTTAAATGTCAGGGGCATCTGACCTCCTTCCCCCCTTCCCCTCCCAAACAAACAAAAAAACCCATCAAAATCATATCCCTTTAAAGAACAAAATAATGTTCGCAGCAGACATCCTTACCCCTTGGCTGATTCTCCAGTCTCAGAAAGCTCAGATCTGCAGTGGGAGTCGGAATGAGGGATAGGAGCACGGTGACTTTAGGTTTCAGTTGGTTGAACCAAAGTCAACTACATCTAAATGCTCCCCACCTCAAAAACAAAATGAAATCTTTCTCAAAACATAAGTGCCAAGCTTCTTCTCACTCTATATGTTCAACAAATGAGCAGGATTTTGATAATGATAGTCATTTGGTTGCCTCTCCTCATGGGAGCTTGCAAGACATTGAAGGAGGAAGTGTGCCCTATAGAACCTGTTTACGGGGTCCAGCAAGGAGGGTAGCTACTGAAAGACCTTGGCCAATGCATGGCCATTCTCTGTGTGGGAAGGCCATCCTACTCAGCTGAGTGCACAGCTTGAGGAGGGATATGGAACAGGTGGTTGTGAAGGAGAGGCGCATCCTTCCAGTCAATCCAGTGCTAAGCATGTAATAGGCATTCATGAAGCATTTGTTAACAAAAGCAGCAATTTCTCCAGCCAGACCCGTAAATCTTCCCTGGTGATCAATGCACTGGCTGATGTAGCCAGCTCATCGCTGAGCCACTCCTTTCTGGTAAGGTTTAAGGTGAGGGTGAGAGGTGAGCTATAAACTGAACTGGGAAAGGGACTCTGAAGACGCAGAGATGTGGTCTCGGTGTCCCACACCGGGAAGGGTAAGATGGATCAATGAAAGATAACATTCCTAAAACACCAGCTAGCTTTGGTGACGCTCCTTAGCAGGGGAGAAAGGGTGCTGCCCAGAATGGTGGCAACTTCTCTGAAGTAGGGTTAGTTGTATCCCAGCCCTGGCCAGGCTTCTAGAATGGAAGCCAGAGTTATCTGATGTGTTCCCTGGGGCTCCGTCATCCTCTTCCGCTGACCATTTTTCTTCAGGAGTTTTCTCCCAAGTGTCCAGAGAGAATTTTTCTTCCTATCAGCTTTTCTTCTATTCCAATCATTATGGGAAGTCCCACAACCCTGAGCACATTCCATACATGTTTTCTCACTGGAATTCCCAGGCTCTGTAGCATCAGCAGTTTTTTTGTAGCAGAATAAATAGATAACAAGTGTAAAAAGTATCTCTTCTGTTACTAAAAAGCACATTTCCTCTGAGAAAGATGAGATCCTTCACAGCGTATATGTACTGTTAACCTTTGTGGAATCCTTATAAATCAGGTGAAAGGTTTTAAAAAAGATGAACTCTGGAAAGAAAACATTAAAAATTGGGTGATCTTTGTATTCTTTACAGCCAAAGAAGCTTGAAAGCCTGTGCCATGATAAGCTGAGGGTTTTCATTATAAACACAGTTAAAGGTTCCCAAGTAAATCCTCAATTATAGCACCTCGCTTCCTCTACCTGGCTGTTCCTTTCTGGTAGTTGCAGAGTTGCGGAGGCAGTGGGGGGGGATGAAAAATTCCAGGGTTTGGAATCAATTTTAGTATATGTGCTGCTGAAGCGAGCACCAGGGTTTGGAATCAGACAAGCCTAGGCTCAAATCACAGCCCTGTCACCTACCTACGAGCTCTGAAATTATACCCTGTTATTTAACCTCTGTGAACCTCAGCTTACTCATAAAGTGAGGATCATTATACAAATGTGTATAAATTATCTAACATAGTCCCTGGAATATTGTAAGTGCACAAGAAATGTTAACTCTCTTTTCCATTATGCCTCCAAACATGTCACACGCGTACACACACACACGTATGGATATATCCATATATGTGACAAAATATTTTAAGTTGTTCAATAAGTAACTATGTGAGGATCTGAGGACACAAAAACATGCATTACAGAGTCTTTTCCCAAAGAGCTCAGATTCTGATGGGGGACATGAAGTCCAAAATGATAGGGGTCATCAAAGAAGTAGCCTCAGGATGAAGGAACAGAGGCAGGGCTGGGTGGGAAGGAGATCTGGGAAGTTCCCCAGGGTATGCAGCCTATGAAAAGGAAGAGAACATATTTTAGGAAAAGGGATGACTATGCAAGATGATCATAAAAGCTGTGGCGCAAGGGCAAGAGATGAAGTTAGTGAGATGGGGAGGGTACAGGTCTCAAAGGGAGTGGTGAACTTATTCATGAACATTATGGAGTGTCAGCAAACAAGTTCAGGCAGGGGAGGGACATCATGAGATTTGCATTTTAGAAAGCCCCCATTGGGAGCTGTGTTAAAGATGAACTGGAGGGGAGGCAGACACAGAGTAGGGAGAACTATCTGAAATTGATAGTAGGAACCCAGGTAAGACAAGATGAAGTCCTGAATTAAGGCAGTGCACATGAGGGCTGAGAGAAGGGCGGGAATTCAGTGCTTAGGAGGTGTCATCTTCAGGAGTTAGACACTGATTAGATATATGTGGAGGGTGCATGAGCAGAAGTGGAGAATCAAAGATGAGTATCAAATTTCTAGCATGGGTGGATATAGGAAGAGGTCTGAATGGGGAATTTAGTTCAATTTTGAATAAGCTGGGCTGGAATTGAGTTTGAAATATGTGTGAATTATCCAAAGAGATAATGTGAGATAATGGACTTCCAAGTGAGATCTTTGCCAGATTTGTAGATTAGAAGGCATCAACTTATAGCCAATAATGGTGCCCAACGATGGACTCCTGAGATATATCCCTGTTGATCAGGGGAGTGCAGAAGAGGAGCCTGTGAAGGATAATGAAAGGAGTAGCCAAGAGGTAGGAAGAAAACCAGGGTTTGGTGGTATCATAGAAACCAAAAGCAGAGAAGGTATCAAGAAGGAAGGGAAAGCCAACAGACTCAACTACTTCAAAGAGGTCAATTAAGATAAGAATCGGAAAATATCCATTGGATTTCACACTGTTGGGCAATTGCAGACACGTAATGAGAAAAGTCAGACCACAGTGAGGAAGTGGACACAGCAAATACAGATTACGCTTTCAAGAGCTTTGAGGTAAAGGCAAGAGAGAAAATAACAAGTGGCGAGAGGTGTCAGTCAAGTTTTACTTTGTTCTGTTTTGGTTTGGAGGTGGTAGGGACTTGAGCACGTTTACATTCTGGAGGGGAAAGAGGCAGTGGCGAGGACGAAGGGGAAGATTAGAAGAGGGTAGACCAACAGTCCAACACCTTGCATCAACATAGACCACCTCCTGTCTGGAATGCTCCTCCATGTCATCTTTCTCTGATCAACATCTATGAATCCTTCACCTCCCAACGTAACCGCCACCTTCTGAGTGACTTACCTTATTCTCTTAGTCATTACACTTGTCTAACATCCATAAGCACTGCCAGACTGTACATTCTGAGCAGGCAAAGACTGAGTGTCTCATTCCCAGCACAGCACAGTACCTGGCACATAGAGATGCTCAAGGACTTCCTGAGTCACAGCATAATCACACTCCTCGTAAGGACCTGCTCTATGTATTAATAAAGTCCAGATCAGATATCACATGCTAGCAATTCTCACTTCTCCAGTGGTTTTCCACCACCCCTATGTGGCAATTTCAGGCTGGGTTAGTTTAGGACTACCTAATAAAACTGTGGAGCCTGTGGTTCAAATGAAGGCAGAAAAATTAAGAGGAATTTCCCTGAGGGAATGGACCTTGCATCTTCTTCTCCATCTTACTTCCTTATCTATGACTATGCCAAGGTAGGGGCTAGAGATGCCTTTGTCTTCTTACCTCACCCTCAGAGCCCAGACATAAATGCCTTATTCTAGAGAATTCGCTGTGATTAATTAATAGACAAGACTATACAGCTTCCTGGGGACTGGATTAGTTGTAATTGTATGGTGTTTATTACTACTCCCCAACTTCTATTTGGGTAAGGATATACTTAGAGAGCGAGCCTTCAAAGGAGACATGTGCCCCTACCACACTGAAGTTTCTGGAGAGACCATAGAATTTATCTGTGCTACCCCAGTACCTCCAACGAAGTCTCCAGCACATAGTACTCAACAAATGCTTGATGAAAGAATGAGCAAGCTTGAGTCTTAAAATGAAACAGGATGCTATCAGACATCACTCATTCTGGGATGCACTCGTATCAGGTTCCTTAACCCTACTTTTATTGCTTGGCAGGAGCCAACTCTCTCACGTGGCCACACTTGGCACAGTCAGTTGCCAAAGTTTTGGTGGGGGGGGGGAGCAGTTGGTAGCCCCCCTTGTTATCCTGTATCTTTCTTCCGCTGAAGTCAGTATTTCTGAGGTGATATCAAAAAGGAATGCTCCTCGTGGCGTGTTTGGCTGTGGGTGGAAGCGCATTATAAACTAAACCTCATGATGAAGTGTTCTCATTACATTTTTGGCTCTGTCTTGCCGACCTTGTACTTTGAGCATCGGGCACTTACTCGGATTGATTCAAAATGCCAAACCTTAATGGTTTTGAATGTCACTAATTCTAATCCAGATATGGGTGAGAGGCAGATGGTGGGAAATGGTGATCGTGGGATCTAGAGCAAACACTGATCTCCCAGGAGAGGTAATTTAGAAGCACTGGAGCTGAGAGTTGCTAGCTGTTGGCCAATTCGGCACTGTGAATCCTTTGATGGCAGATTGCTCCAAACAGAACAGCCTCCTCCCCATTAAGATAGTCAAGCCCTCTGGCAGTCCCTTCGTGCTGAAGGTTAGAGTCTCAGTGGCAAAAAAAACCAAGTACCAGATTTCTTTCCCCCTTCTATGTGCCAGCCCCATCTCCTCATGATCACACCATCATCTAACAATGGTGAGACCGAGGTGGACTCTCACCTTCCAATTCTCTGCCACCCATGACTGGGAAGGGAAGTCAGAGTCTCCTAATAAGTAGTCATTAGACTCTCAATGGATTGTCACCCAGTCGTGGAGACAGAGGGACCAGAGATTTAAGGGAGAGTCTTGGCCTGTGGAAGAACATGGCCAAGCATGTAGCCCCGTGTGGGGCATCAGTTGGTCCAGCCCTGTTTTCTGTCCCATCTCTTGAGAGAAAGTTGCCAATGATTTTTCCTAACGTTCTCACTAGCATTCCAACTAATATTTATTTCTTGCTGACTCAACAAATGCACTGGGCACTCTGTTAAATACTTTATTGTGCATTATCTCATCACAACTCTAGAAATTATCCCCATTTGATCAATGAGGAAACTAATCATTATTGAGGATAAGTAACTTGTCTAATGTCAGTAACAGTAAGTTAAAGAGCCAGAATGTGAACCCAGCTGTCTTGGAGATGGTAGTCAGTCACTACCCTGTGTCTGAGTAGTGTGAAGTGTCAAAGCCAGGACTTCTACCCACTGTTCCCTACGGCTCCATTCTCTTTCAGCATCTCCATCTATACCTTCTCCTTATCCACATGCCTTCAAATATATTCAGATAAGAGCTGGGAGAATTATCGTAGTCAAGCAGGGCCTTGAAGAAAGGGGTCAGGTAGGATATGGAGAGAGGCGGTGATAAAGAATTAAAAGTCTAGCTTTATCATTGCCCACCCTTTCAAAAACAAAAACCAAATCTAGGCTGGAGAATATAAATGAGACCAGAGAAAATCCAGGCCACAAACCCCTGTAGCAATTTGTGAGTTCTGAGAGCTGCCAGCCTAAGGTTCAGTGATGATCTTTACTCTGTGCAACATGATGGCAGCCACCCCTGGGTTCCTGTGGGTGCAATTTACTCATGCAATTAATTCATTCATCAGTTTCCATTGATGACCCATGGACCAAGTGCTGGACAAGATAAAAAGATGCGTAAGATATAGGCCCTGTCCTTCAGGAGTTCACAATGCAGGAGTTGGACAAATGTTTAAATTCTTTCTTGACTTCCAACAAAGAGACGTTCTTCAAGGTGTAAGATGCATCGGCAATGCCAAAAACAAAATTCTTGCAGCAGAGGTTGGTAGAAATGACCTTTAAAGCTGTTTACATCTCTAAGAGTCTATAATCCCATGAATCCTATAACTTCACCTTTGAAGAAGAAATCGCTTATGTCATTACAATTTTCTAATAAAAGCACAGCTACTATTAGCATCCGATTTTTCGGAAGAGCCCTGGTTTCAAATATCCTGTCATAAATACATGTAGTTGGAAGACTACATTTAGTAGTTGGTGTCTCTCTAAGCGTGTGTCTTTCTGCATGGAGAGTCTGTAAAGCCAGTCCTTTGACTAGTAACTCTGGGCGCTGCTTCCTGGAATCTGGGGTGTTTGCAGCCCTGTCCCTTTGCCTCCCTGTGCACGTGGCCGGGAACCACTTTGGGGTGGCGTGTGCGTGCTCTGCATGTCTGCGTGGCTGATGGCGCTTCCCCATGGGCTGCAGCTGCCCGGCAGCCATGTGCTTCAGCCTGCCTTTATATAGTATCCTCTGCCCATGTGGTTGCAGTCAGTCCGATTCCATTCAGATCAGCCACAGTTGTCACGCACGTGTGCAGGGCACTGCAGGGGACATGGAAACAAATGACACTATGAGGTATACTCAAGTAACTGTGATGAAACCAAGGAGATGGTTAAGGGGGAACAAAAGAGGTCTACACCAAGGGGTGTGTGAGAAGAGGGCCCGGGAGGACTGTGCCTGGAGGCAGGTAGGATGACCCTGGGGAAGAAACGGGTCATCTGAGCTGCATCAGAAGGACCCGGAGGATTAGGGTGCAGAGCGTGTGCCGGATGGAGGCAATAGAGCAACACAGGAAAGGAGCTCAAAGGAGGGGACCCGGGGGAGACCCATCTGGAGAGTCAGGAAGGGCTGGAGCTGCTCACTGTGTGTGCTGTCGTGTAAGGACAGCGCGCTGTGGGAGTGTGCGCACAAGTACGTAAGAAGCAGCAGTGGGAATAACTCCGTTAAAAATTCAGGACCGGCCACAGAGTTGAGAACGAGGGCTGAGTTATAGATCTCTTTTCTGAGGATAGAAGATTAAAGGAGAGGTTTTCTTTTTTGCTTTGTTTTTCTTCGCGGCTGTTGGTTTTAAGTAGGTCATTGGAACCCCAGTGGTTGGAACTTGCTGGGTGAAGGCAGCGCGAGGCTGGAAAAGCACCATCCTGGACTTGACTTTCCCCCACCGCTTCCCCCTTTTCCTGCCCACATGTGATTTAAAGGGCCCACTGCTCTTTGGCCCCGCGGTTTTTACCTGTATTTGCCTGTAACGGTAAATCCCGCACGGGTTTATCGTTGATTCGTGCAGGTAAGTTGGAGACTGATTATCTTTATTGTTCTCCTTTTCATTGCAGAGCCCACATTTCCTTCCAGGATCTGCTCATCAACATCTTTACTCTATTTCCTATTGGTCTTCCCCTGCATTCTGTTGATTCTTCTGCCCATTTCCCTCCTCTGCTGGTACCACAAGGCCAGGAAGTTGTCAGCACTGAGTCTAAAAGCACAGAATGAAAAGGCTCTCTGGGTGAACTTGAAAGGGGCTGGTGACTGGACAACAAACCGGAAGGAAGAGGAAGAGGAAGACGATTGAATCTGGAGAGCTTCCAGCAGCCCTGGGGAAAGTGCGGGCTTTGGAATCAGACTGAGCTGCATGTGAATGTGAATGAATCCTGATCCGGTCCTTCTTGGCGTCTGTGGCCTTAGGCAAGTTAGCTAGGAATCAGAGGGAATATTTATTGAGCTAGACGCTCACTGGGCGTCACTAGGGGCCCCACACTGCTAAGTGTCTCTTCGTTGTATTACCCTCATCTACCCCTTGCATCTTCCCAGGAGCTAGATGATTTACCCTGTTTTTCACTGGCCCTACCTCACAGAGGTTCAGGGTCCCTGTCTGTAAGGAGAGAACTTCCCTCACACAGCCTCTTGGGTATTCGGTGAGATCGTATGGCGAAGCCCAGGGTGAGAATGCCCTCTACTCTCTCCTCCCTTATGTCACTGACTCCCGGGAGAGCACTCCAAGTGGTCCAGTCACACTGGCTCTAGGTTCATCTTTTGCCCCCAGGTAAGAGGTGTAGGAAGGGGCCTGATGTCAGCAAGGCGAAAAGATGTTGGGGATATGCTCTTCGTTCACATCTGATCTGCCTCCCAACGTGAGAGTGACTTCCTTCAAAGTAGAAATCCCATCTTTCCCTCATCCCATCTATAAATGCTACTCAAGAACAAGCTCTGCATAGAGGGTGCCTGATCCATATTGGCCCTTTGATGAAATTGTAAAGCATTTTGTAGTCTGAGTTTCTTTTTTTCTTTCCCTTTCCCTTTCCCTTTTACTTCCTTCCTTTTTTCCTTTCGCTTTCTTTTCTCTATTAGCATTAGGTCATTGCTAAGGAAGAACTTTTTTTTTTTTTTTTAACAACAGTGCTCTAATCAGCCCCTAAGGCCTCATACCTCCCCTTTCTCCCCACGCCAGAAGATCCATCTGGGTCCTGGCTCTGAGCCAGTGCCTTATTTTCTTTGACCTGACAGCATTAGGTAGCAGCACAGGGCATTGTGGTGGTTCTCTGGGGGAGGAGGAGGAACAGTGCCCCTGTCCCGTCCTCCCCCAGCAGGGGCTAGGAGCTCAGGGGAAGCAGTGGGTCAAGTCTGGTTCCTCAGGGTCCCCTATTCTCAGCCAGGAACGGTCGGGGGAGGGGGATGGTTGGGGAGCATCATGGCTTAAGGCTTTCAGCAACTGTCCCCCAGGATATAACAAGTGTTCCCACTGGGCCTGAGGCCTCCTCATCTTTGTTTCAAAAGCTGCTCGGGCCCTGTTGTAGCCAGAATTGGAAATCAATCAGTACCACCTAACAGACTTGAGAAGATGCATCTATTTATTATCTATGTGACCAACAGGGTTGCTTTAACACTCGCTGATTTGCATTTCCAAGGAGAGCAATTTATTTTTAATTATTTTATCAAGCACACACGTCTCTCCAAACATAATTAGTTCCTTTGCAGTGGGAGCATTGGTGGCTATGAGAACTCCCAGTGAAGAGCTATAGGTCCCTTCCGCTCATCTCCCTTTATAGGCTCATTTAAAATAGCCCAAGTGTTTCCTTAAATGTGTCAACACATTAGTCTCTTCTCAGGTAGGGGTGGCATATTTTTCAGAAAACAAAGCTAAAGGTAACACTTGTTAGAAAGTATGATGTCCCCTGCCTTTTTTTCCGCCCCAAAACCTGTATTTTAATTAGGATTTTAAAGGGAAAGGGAGCAGAATCGAGCCCCGTCAGATAATCAGAGCGGATTCTGATGCTGCCCCCTGCCTGGGGTCCTCTTTCCCCTGACCCCGTCCCTCTCTCCTCACCTGGGTCCGGCCTTTCGGCTCAGAGCTCACTGGCCACTTCTTCCCGTTTGAATCTGGCCCAGACATGGCACAGAGCAGACACTGTAATGTCCAAGTGCATCGCCCGGAGCCGAGCACGGGAACGATTCGATTACTCCCCAGGGAACACCTCGTGCCCAGCCCCGGGATCGGTGTGAGGGATCCAGCGGGGACCCAGCCAGATGCAGCTCCAGTCCGCTAGGGTCATCAGCTTGTCCCTTCTGGCTTCTGGGCTCTCAGCACGCTAGGTGTCCTAAGAAGCCGTGTTGTGCTATTTGGCCCGTCGTGAATTTTTGGGCAGCTAAACCCCAAAGTCGTCTTTTCTCTTCTCTGAACTGAATAAAATTTGTGTTCACCCAAGTCGGTCGACATTTCCCGTGAAACCTCTTCTCTTTCCAATGCTGTGCTTGTCCCGTTTTACTCTCTAACTAACACTTAGTGGAGAACTTCACTTTTATTCACCGATTTAAACTTTTCCATTCTGTGTCAGCACCTGGTTTCCCTTTCAGCGTCTTGGGTTTTCAGTCCTCCTTGGCAACCGAACAAACCTGTCTCGGGAGTTGGCTACCTATGGCCCACAGGCCAAGCGCAGACCACCACCCGTTTTTTAAAATATGAGTTGTTGGAAGACAGCCATTCCTTTTGCCTGCATATTACCTCAGGCTGCTGTCTTCATGAAAAGGGCAGAGGTGAGTAGTTGCCATGGAAAATGTGGGCCTAAAATGTTTACTATCATAGGCCCTTTACAGAAAAAGGTTTCCTGCTTTAGTGGCTAATGTTCTGTCTTAACCACGCACTGTGTTCCTGGGACCCTTGGCCTGTTGTATTGGTATCTCTTATATACCTGATTAATTGAAGAATAACCTGAGGCTCTCCAGATTGGGGTGTGGTCCAAGCCATTGTGAAGTTCGAATCCTCTGCCGCACTCCTCCTAGAGATGGGAAATTCAGCACCCTGGAGGTGCTCCTGCTCTGTGCAGGACGAGATGACGTGGAGGTGTGTAAAGCATGAATAGGCTGTTTTCGTTCTTTTTAGTCTAGGAAGACATGTATGGGAAACAGCTGATATACGGCAGAACAAGAAAGTAGAAAGTCAAGTGCCATAATTCTTTCTTACGATTGCACAGAAGTTGTTCATCATCTCAGAGTTTCAGGGCACCCCTATGTAAAAGGGATTGTTGTTCCTGTCCTGCAGGAAAGACAGGGACGCTTAGAGGGGTTGGGTTGCTCCACGATCACCCAGCCACGTGTAGAAGAGTAAGAGCTCCAATTGAGGTCTGCTGGCAACCAATCCTAGACTCTTCCCATGGTAGACACTGTGCTCAAAGTCACAGCAATGGGGAACATCTAGTGATAATAATATCCACCTCGCATGGTTGTTACGAGCATGGAATCAGATACTTATATGGGGATAAGTTTTAAACTGTTTGAAGTCGTAAGTGAATGTGGGCATAACCAAGTTTTTTTTCAGGCCTCATCTGTCTGTGCACATAAACGAAATTAAATCAACAATAATCAAATTCTATAGACTTTCGCCCCCCAAGCTACTTACACGGGGTCTTGGCCATCTGTAAAGCATTCTTCAAGTATTTCTGGGGATTCTATAGGATTCTGGGAATTCACATGAGCTCACAAACTAGTCCCCTCCCACATGGTTTCCTGCTGCTCTGTTCAGCTCTGTGGGCTCCCACTGCAGCTAGGATGCTGGAGCATATGACGTATTAACGCCGGACGGTGTTCGTTGGTAAGCAAGGAAAAACACCTCTCATTCTGTCCTCATGTCACACTCTGGATTGCAAACGAATCCAAAATTGCTTGTGCCCCCATGTCTCCAAAGATTGTGAAAACAGGTCCTTTAACTTTTGCCCAGTACCTCCTTGCTCCACAGGGTCCAGACACCAGCGAGTCTGGGCCCAGTCTGGGAGAGAGGCGTCATGCTGTTTTTCATTTCCCATGCTCAACCCCTGGGAACCTGTTAGTACATCTTCATCTCAGGCCCCCTGTCTCCCCTGTAGTTGAGTCATGCAAATTTTACTTCTGGGGAGTCCGCCCACTCATCAGACAGGTCCAGGGAAGTTTACATTCCCTGTAGGCTCAGCTGGGACTTCTGTTATGTTGGCTATTAATTTTTACCCCTAATGCAGTAAAGTGCTATGGCAAAAAAGAAATCAGAGACAGCTTCATAAAGGAGATGTCATTTGAATTAGGCTTTAAAGTCAGGAAGTATTTTGACAGAAGTTGGGATAAACAGTAATCTGCGGAGAGAGGTAGCTCCATGAAAAGTGTGTAGAATAGCTTTGGTTTGATTTAAGTGTCAGATTTATGGAGCAATGAGAGATATTAAATATGGAAAGGTTAGAGTAAGGAGGGACAAGAGAACAGATCTTGAACATGCACAAAAACTTCGACTTTATTTGATGGACAATGGTGAGCCATTGAATGTTATTTAGCAGGGAAGGAGCAGTTCTCCTTTAGGAGAATTGAAACACCAGCAGCATAGATGATGGGTAGGGGTTGAGTGAGGGCTGGGGCAGTATCAAGGCAAAGCAGGGCAGCCAACCTCAGGAAATAACCTCCATTTTCCTAATTTGTGTAACAAAGATAAAACCAATTTTGTGAGGTTTGAGGACTGAACCGAATTATCAGAAAGTTTCAAATATTACATTAAGCTCATAGAGGTAACTAATGTATATTTGTTAAGTACAATGATAACGTGTTATGAGATCCTTCTTCTGTTTAATAAATATTTGTTAGCCTAATTTTCTATTGGTAATTGTAGAGGTAAGAGAGTTATATCTTTTCACTTAGCTGGCTTTCCGTTTGACTTATCTTTTTAAAAAAAAAAAAAAAAGATTTTATTTATTTATTTGAGAGAGAGTGTGTGAGAGCAAGAGAGAGGGAGAGAGAGCACAAGCA